ACAGATATAAATGCTGGGGGATCTTTCAGTCATTAGAACCGAAGAAGTGGCTTGGCCAAGTTACAAAACGTCTTCAACATTGAAGAACAAGTCCAATTGAATGTGACTAACTACTGCTAGATAGATTCTGCCTGCCAAAGTAAATGGATCCTAACATTTTTAACAGATAATAAATATATCACAAATCAGTTTAGTTTTTTTAAGAATATAATGGATTGTTCGAAAAATATTTAGGATCCTCTCAGAATAGCAAAAAAATAAATGACCTGTAGTCTCCAAATGCATATGTAGTAAATGGGGGCAACCTTTACTGCATACAATGGGAAGACCCTACAGTACATAACCCTGCTGCGGACAATGGCCAGCAATCTAGATGTGTTTTGCCAAGAAAGAAAATACTAAGATGTAAAAAAAAGATTTATTTACACAGAGACACTGCAGAGCAAATAAACATGTCAAGACGTAGTAGGAATATGCTGATTCACAGCAAGTGATTTGCAGTACACAAAGTGCATCATACACTAATCGGTATGCATTATACATGCATCTTAGTTTGTTATTTCTCATGATAATTTTCTAATAAAAATATTCACTTCAGAACCATAGGATGGGATTGTAATTTATTAGCATTACATGGTTATTTAAATATTAAAAACATTACTGTCAAAATATCTAAAAAATAAATACATAATTTATGCAATAAATTAAGCTGATCAGCACAGTCATGTCTTTTGTGAATTAAATTATTATTATAAAATTATTTAATGAATTAAAAAAATCTAATTTTCGTAATAAAAGAAACAAATAATGCATGATAATACTGCACGTATCATGCCATTGTAAATGAAGCCTATAAATATTAGGAAAGGGGTACATACTAGCATGCATGTATATGCTCTTACAAAAATGTCATTTTAGTGCAGTTTACCAGTCCTTAGATGTGTTTGCTTCATTAGTTTACCTTTTTCAATTTATTTTAATCTTAATTTTCACTTGGTGATCCTGCCAGTAACACGCTTGCCTTCCTAGGGTGACAACACTCACTCGGTCTACACTCCATACGTCTGACGCCACTTCCGGTGAGTGGAACGCACGCCGAGCGGTGCGTTCCAGCGGTCATTTTTTGGGATCTGTGCTGGTTTCTTTGCTGATCCTCTGTTCCATCCTGTGGCATCTGATGTGAGAATCCTGGATTATGGGGCTGTAAACTGGTTGTTATCATCTGGCTGGTATTGGTTCAATAAATGTGCCTTTTACAAGTTGGTAAAATGTGAGTGGCCTGGATTTTGTTTTTTTATCTATACTATTGATCTGGAAATATTACACTATATAAGATTTTTTTCCCTGGTGACACGGTGGAGCGGATTCATAGGGCTGTGGTGGGGACCTGAAAGAAGATCATAACCTGGTGGTGTAAGGATACTATAGAGCTGATGAAAAGAAGGTTTAGGATCCCTAAAAATCCCTAAAGGCTTCTCATTCACCATTATCGGGTGAGTGCAATTGATGTTGGTGTGCACGGGTGAAAGTCTTCATCAGGGGCGGACTGAAAAATCATAGGGCCCCTGGGCAATAGGGGATCATGGGACCTCTGTGTCCTTGCACAAACTCAAAAAAGCCTATGAAAAAGGTACCAGGGGTATCTCATGGGGCCCCCTACTGACCCCGGGCCCTTGGGCAGTGCCCGAGTTTCCAAATGGTCAGTCCGCCCCTGGTCTTCATCACACACGGTCCTTTGGTGTTATTATTTTGGTTCTGGAGAAGGATAAATTAATTATTATATGGGATATTCACTAATTTTGAGTGGACATTTATGATTTGTGATTTACTTATGAGCATCATATATTTGTGGGCCTGAATATTTGTTTAGAGGTCTATTTTTGCGCTGTTTTATTTATATTTATCACTGTTTGTGTTTTCACATTGCACGGCAGCAATTTAGATCATTATTAGTTTTGTATTGGCGCAGGAATATTTTCTTTCATTGCTAAGCCTAACAACATACACCCTAAAGTTCCTGACATTGTGAATTTCCACTTAAAATATAAAGTTGCAGACAGCCGTGAAACCTGCCCATGAAACCTCTAAATCTGAAAAGTCATGATCTTGAGCAGCACTGCCCAGAATGCTGATTCAGGCACGTTGAATTACAGAGCAGCTGACCTCTTCTTTACTTGTTAATTAATATAAAACCAAGAGGCACGCACTGGCACCCATGTGTATCTAAACCTTTTCTATTTTAGCGGAGCTGATGAACGGTCTGTGCCAGGCATGGCTTTGGTTCAACTGATGCCACATTCCACTCTGTCTGCTAGATTCAACTGACTGGTGATAGCAGCTTAAAATGGACCAAGTGACCCGCAGAAACTAATGCCAAGCACCCATGAATGGTTCTGCCCTATTTAGGAGCTTTTAATTGTTGACATTGTACTACAGTGAATAAACAATGCTTTACGAATAGCAAGGGAAACTCAAGCCAGATCACCAAGAAATAATAATTTAGCTCTTGGTAGATGCTGGTGGGTTAAACCACCTAACTTTTTCTTATATCTCCCAGGGTCTGTATTGGGGAGATCTCTGCACTGGGATTTTTTTCTGCATGCCTATTGTGGCCATTATGAATGGTTCCCACATCTCTGCTGGTTTTGTTTCTTTATTTTATATTATTAACACTAAAACAGGAGATGCTTTAAGACACAAATGACCTAGAGATCTTGCTGTTGGAGTGTTTAGGAGATGTAAGAAGCCAGGTGCTGACCGAGCCTACTAGATTCCAACTGTATCTAAACCTCTTGAGGGTTTTAAATGTAAGATACATTAAACAAACACACCAACAAAGGATGTCTTATGTCCTGTTCCTCTCCCCCCGCTGCTATTGCCAGCAATTACTAGCTGTCAATTACGTATTACACAGCAAGAGTGGCTGTCAATATGTAGCAGCCAGGGGCGGACTAACAAATCATGGGGCCCCCGGGCAATAGGGGATCATGGGGCCCCTGGGTCCTTGCCCAAACTCAAAAAAGCCTATGAAAAAGATACCATGGGGCATCTCATGGGGCCCCCTACTGACCCCAAGCCTTCGGGCAGTGCCCAAGTTTTCAAATGGTCAGTCCGCCCATGGTAGAAGCTCCTATATTTTTATATACATTCTGGTTGACACTGGTATCTGATGACACTGGTACTAGGTGGCGATCAGGACACTGGCCCTGGTTGACATTAGTACTAGCTTTCACAGGTACTGGTGCTGGCTGGTGCAGATCAGGACACTGGTTCTGGCTGGCACAGATACTGGTGAAGGCTGGCGATTAGGACACAGGCTCTGGCTGACACTGGTACCCAATGATGCTGCACTGGTGCTGGCTGGCAATTAGGAGACTGGCGATTGATTTCACTGGTACCAGTACCCACCATAGCCACTTCCTATGGGGCACTCGTATAGACTTACTCCCAAGCCGAGCTGTTTCCGACACACAGCCTAGCTCGGGCCGCCGCCCCCCCTGCTCTCTGCTTAAAGAATTTTGACTGACAGCAGCAACTTTTTCTTGTATCTCCCAGGGTCTATATTGAGGAGATCATCGCACTGGTTTTTTTTTCGGTCTGCATGCCTATTGTGGCCATTATTAATGGTTCCCGCCATCTCTGCTGGTTTTGTTTCTTTTTATTTTATATTAGTATCACTACAACAGGAGATGCTTTAAGACACAAATTACCTAGAGATCTTGCTGTTGGAGTGTTTAGGGGATGTAAGAAGCCAGGTGTTGACTGAGTCTACTAGGTTTCAACTGTATCTAAACCCCTTGTGGGTTTTAAATGTAAGATACATTAAAAAAAAACACCAACAAAGGATGTCTTATTTCCTGTTCCTCTCCCCAAGCTGCTATTGCCAGCAATTACTAGCTGTCAAAATGACAGCCGGGAATTGCTTTGTATTACACAGCAAGAGTGACTATCAATATGTAGCAGCTCCTATATTTTTATATACATTCTGGCTGACACTGGTATCTGATGACACTGGTACTAGGTGGTGATCAGGACACTGGTCCTGGTTAACATTAGTACTATCTTTCACAGGTACTGGTGCTGGCTGGTGGAGATCAGGACACTGGTTATGGTTGACACAGATACTGGTGAAGGCTGGTGATCAGGACACAGGCTCTGGCTGACACTGGTACCCAATGATGCTGCAATAGTGCTGGCTGGCAATTAGGAGACTGGCGATTGATTTCACTGGTACCGGTGCTAGATGCTGATTAGGATACTGGTTCTGGCTGATACTGGTACTAGATTTCACTGGTAATAGTGGTGACCAGGAAACTGGTTCTGGTACTGGATAACACTTATACTGATGCTTGCTTACAATAATATTAATGGTCATTGGTACCGGTGTGGAGGACAGTCAGGACAAGTGCTGGCTTACACTGACACAAGTGCTGGCTTCACTGGTACTAGATGGCACTAGTACGTGTGCTTCTGGCAAACAGGATATATAACTCTCCATCTTCTCTCACAGCCGATTGATGTGTGAAATGAAAGGAAGAGCAAACAGCATTTTGAGATGATCTGATTGGTCACAGCAATCACATGAATAGAATCATTTTCATTGGCTCTGTACCTTTTTTTTGTGATATGCACTGCCCAATGGAAACACTAAACTACAAGCCTTAGCAAAGTAAAAAAAAAAAAAATTGAAAAAGGTGACAAAAACAACAACAAAAAAAACACAAACACTGTCTCTTCCTACAATCACTCTCTGTGATCTTTCCCTCTCTGCTCCAGGTCTCTCCAACACACAGTGAACAGAGACTTCTGAGAACCCAGACTTTTATAGGAAGGGCGCTGGTACATTAGAAAAACCCCATGATTGTTTCTTCTAAGCCACCTGAACATACTGTAGTTAAGAGGCCAAGAAATACTGTTGCTAATTGGCTGCTATGGGCATGAATAGCTACATTAATGTGTGCATTTTCTTGAACTGCATTTGGGTGAAAGTCAAAGTCGACCAGGGGCGGACTGACCATTTGGGAACTCAGGCACTGCCCGAGGGCCCAGGCTCAGTAGGGGGCCCCATGAGATGCCCCTGGTACCTTTTTCATAGGCTTTTTGGGTGTGGTTTGAGTTTGGGCAAGGACACAGGGGCCCCATGGTCCTCTATTGCCCGGGGGCCCCATGAGTTGTCAGTCCGCCCCTGAAGTCGACTTAAACACGAAGCTCATCCCTAACTTGCTAACCATGTGTACATAGTACGTGGCTACACTGCACATATCCCTACAGCTCAGTACAAGGGCCTACTTCTGAAAAAGGAAAAATAAGATATGCAAAGAATAAAATGCCTTGTAATTATGGCTAGATGAGGGCTTTAAGATTCAAAAAAAATCCTACGTTCCTCAACCTGTCTACACACATCGCAGCAATCAGTGTACAGAAAAGGATGGTTAAAACTAATGTTATTTTTAAGGCTATCTGTGTCCTATTGGAGAAATTTCCCATTACTTCCTGTCCCAAAGTCTCAACAGGAAGTGATCTTTCCAATGGGAGGGATATCACTGTTAGACTGTTGTGTATGGGAATAAGTGTCCCCATGAAAATCTCCCATGAAAATTGTGTTGATCCACAATTCTACCCCTGACCTACAAAATAATATGGCAGACACTCTAGGCCATATACATTGCTGTGGCCATGATGTTTTGCTTTGTGGTGTGTCAAATTTAACTTGTTATGAATTGTTTGGTAGGCAGTGGTGCTTGCCAAAACATGCCCATTAAACTCAGACTGTACCTTAACTGCGTGTCAACTGATTAACCAATGACAATCTGAACATAAATGAGCACAACACAGATAGATCATTACACAGTCTGCTAAACAGAGTATTAACTATGCCAAATCGGCAAAAATCAGGTTTTTATATGACTAACTAGGATCAAAAGGGTAAGTTAGTAAATCAGCAATAACCAATATTAATGAATGTTAAAAGTAGAATAATTGACAATAATACTACACTAGGCTAGAGTGCACTCTACGGGATTGAATAGGATCAGGGGCGGACTGACCATTTGGAAACTCGGGCACTGCCCGAGAGCCCGGGCTCAGTAGGGGGCCCCATGAGATGCCCTGGTACCTTTTTTGAGTTTGGTCAAGGACACAGGGGCCCCATAATCCCTTATTGCCCGGGGGCACCATGAGTTGTCAGTCTGCCCCTGAATAGGATACAGCTTCTCTTAAGAGGTTCCTCTTTAACCAAATAAAAAGGAGCAAGACCTTGGGGTAGCAATTGTTAAAGGCAGTCTTTAGTGACGAATCCTCAGCCAGCTAAATGTTAGGGCCCGTTGGCGCTCAATAAGGCAGTCAATAAGACCTGCAAGGAGTATTAGATCTATGGAGTAACTGGAAGGTAGTTCCTAATGGCTCAGTCACTAATGGTGGTAACAAGTAGCAGCCACAAAACCCTCTCACCAGGCCCAGCGACATGGCAGCAGTGGTCTCTCCGATCAGGTATCCGGTCACTCTGGGTCACCCGTGGCGAGTCTGGTAGGTAGCTTCGTCCCTCAGTACTCAGGTCACTTGGGGTCACAGCCATGTAAAAGACAGCTCTGCACCCTCTGAATGTCCCTCACATGGCTGTGGGTTCCTCTGGCACAGGTTCTTTCTCTCTTAGATGGAGTTTCCTTGACATGATCCTGTCACACTCGGCTCCTGTCACCCTTAGCTCCTGTCACACTCTCCAGAGAATAACAATTTCCCAAACAAATATCTAGTTCAATCTATTTTTTTTTCTTGCCAAGCTAGCTGGCTCTGTAGTTCCAGTCTCAATTTATCTCAATGAGCAGCACTTCCAGGGACTACATATCCCATGATGCTCCTCTCATCCTCTATGATTGGTCCCTCACTGTTGCTATAAGGGAGGGGGGAAACAGAGTGGGCAGAGGGCGTTTACTCAGATCCCACAGCCTCGCCTTGCCTTGTCACAGTCGCTCCAGCCCTCACTTTTTTTTCTGGTGGTGACAGGAGAAAGCAGAGCGTCAGGAACACAAGGAGCCACTCTCCCTCGCTCTCTGAAGCTCTGCAGCAGAGGTGGGCTAAGCAAGGAGGAAAGGGATAATGATCCCCAATTCTATTCCTGTCATTGCTGCACTCTTACACCATAATTACAAGAGACTGCTTGGTCACTGATCTAGGAGTATGCAGTTACCACGCTCTCAGCACGGAAACCTTTGCCACCCATGGACGCATATGTGTAGTATATGGGCGTTATAGCCCACTCTCTTTGCCTCTGCACATTTATGTCACATTGGCAGCAACTGGTTAAGCAGAGAGTCACTTTCTTCTATTTTTTTTTGTCAACTGATTATTCTTTTCCTAACGCACATATTCTGATGTTGCTTCTGTAGGTGCCGTGCATCAGGGTACACTCTAACAAAGTTAACTCCATTCCAGGGGGGGACTGACCATTTGGAAACTTGGGCACTGTCCGAGGGCCCGGGGTCAGTAGGGGGCCCCATGAGATGCCCCTGGTACCTTTTTCATAGGCTTTTTTGAGTTTGGGCAAGGACCCAGGGGCCCCATGATCCCCTATTGCCCGGGGGCCCCATGAGTTGTCAGTCCCCCCCTGCTCCATTCAAAAGAACGTAACAACAGACCACGCTCATAATACAAGCACTGGAACAATACATTCCCAGCAACAGGAAGGAGTGAGGGAGTATGAATCACAGGTGACATTTCCTCTCATGTTGCCTGGTAACCCCCACAACAACAACAACAACAACACTATGCATCTAAAACAATGCTAATGAGGCATAATCCTCTTTCCCTAACAATGTTTGCAAAGTACTTTACCACAAGGTTCATTTTCTTGTGATATCCTTATGTCACCATCACCATTGTTTTCAATGGACTTCCAAATTTAAACAGTCCCAAGTGTCCAGAAATTTGTAGATCTACTGATTATTTTTGAACTGGTCCTGCTATTGTTTTGATATCATTTTATTCATACCCCTGATAAAGGCAAACTTTTTGTGCACCAAAATGCGTTTGTGAGCAACGGTTCCTATCCCTTGAACTGTTATTGCTCCCAGTGGGAGCCAGTCTTTAGATAATCTGGCTGCAGTTGGCAAGAAAAGAAAAAAAAGAGAGAGCGTTGAGTGTGCTTTCTTCCCTTCAGGAGAGGCCTAGCTAGAATTGTAGGGCCTAGGCCCCAAATGTGGAATTGAGGGTATGGACTACAACAGGCCTTGAAATTTCAACTCGCCTGCTCGCATCGGCGAGTGGAAATTATGGTGGGGGCAAGTGTGTCCCCCAGGGCCGTCTTGCTGAGCAGGCTCGGAACTCAGGCCGGATCTGTCATTGGCACTGGGAGCCGTCAGACTGCTCAATAGTTGAACACAGTGAAAGCAAAGCAAGGAGTGTGTGCTGTGCTCTCTGCCTCCCCCTAGAGTGCAGTACCCGGCTCTGTGAGTGAAGGTAACAAAGTACTGCAAGTTTTTATAGGGCTGTGTGTGTGTGTGTGTCTATTTGTATGTGTGTGTGTGTATTTGTATGTGTGTGTGTGTATTTGTATGTGTGTGTGTATTTGTATATGTGTGTGTATCTGTATGTGTGTGTGTATGTACATGTATCTGTGTGTGTCTGTGTATGCATGTACATGTGTCTGTGTGTATGTAAATGTGTGTATCTGTACATGTGTCTGCATGTATGTACATGTATGTGTGTGTACATGTGTCTGTGTGTACATGTGTCTGTGTGTGTGTACATGTGTGTGTGTGTTTTGTGTGTATGTATGTACATGTGTCTGTGTATGTATGTACATGTGTCTGTGTGTATGTACATGTGTCTATGCATGTGTACTTCTGTGTATGTACATGTGTCTGTGTGTATGTACATGTATGTGTGTCTGTACATGTGTCTGTGTGTGTATACATGTGTCTGTATGTGTGTGTGTGTACATGTGTCTCTGTGCATGTGAGTACATGTTTCTGTGTGTTTATGTGTGTGTATGTACATGTCTGTGTGTGTACAAGTGCCTCTGTTTGTGTGTTTGTGTGTGTGTGTATGTACATGTGTCTGTATTGTGGCAGTACGGTATCGTGCCACGGTAGAAAGCATGATGGAGACCCAGGATTCTCAACCATGCAGGTTGAGGGGCTCCAGGCAGATCTCATAATGCAGAGGAAACTGGTTTATCAGTTTCCTCTTTGGTTTGTAAAGCCTGTTTTGGGACCTGTAGCCTGGAGATTTCTTAGAGATTTGGGAGGGGTGAAATCTCCAATCCTGGGCCCATATTTTGGGAGCAGCCAGCGCGCTGATGGCACAGGTGTGTGCAGGCCTTTTTGTGGAGGCCAGGCCATGATTCTGGGCTCCATCTCGTCAGACAGGAGTCAGGAGGGCTCCACCCCGGCAGACGGGAGGTCTCTGCCTTGGAGTCAGGTGGAAGCCAGACTAGCTGTGTGCTAGTGCCAAATTTTGGGAAGAGTCTGCAGGAGGCAGACTTAAAACTGCGTACAAGCCAGGAGGCTGAATACTGTTAATTTGTGTGATGATGGAAACCCCTGCGTGGGAAACCTTTATGTTACAGGACTTTCATTTAAATAAAAGTGGGCAAAAAGGCCCTTAAAAATAAGCGAGTTGCCGTGTGCTTTGAAGAAGCTCTACCACTAATAAGCGAGTTCCCACAGTATGTAAACCTACTTGTATGGGTGGTTTGGTTAGGTTCAGGATTATGTGGTTATTATGGGTGGTAGAGTATGGGGCATTTGAGGTACTGCTGGGTTGGATAGTAGGTAGGATATGCTTGTTAGAGTTATGGTTTTGTGAGTGAAAGATTATGGGGGGTTGTGATTATATGCGGTGCATGGTCTAAGTATGATGGAGTGTTTAGGGGGACATTGGAGGTCTTGATGTAATGTGGGGGGACTCTGAGGACCCTGATGTAATGTGGGTAACATTTAACAGTGCCATTTCGTGAAATAATTTACAAGGGCGTGTTTAGGGGCGGAATTAGGGGTGTAGCAGGGTAGGGGTCGCGTGCGGCAACTGGTGGCGAGTAACTCTTAAGGCATGGCTAGTAGCTCAGGACTTGAAATTTTAAGCAATGGACTAAAATACTAAAAGTGAGTACCTCAATTGAGAATGTGGACAAACATACGACAATATGCGAGTATCACAGGCCCTGGGTGTTTGGTTGGACTCTTGGAGCCCTAATCTGGACCATAAGAATCACAGGCTTACAAGGTTAATGTGGACAGTGACCAGGGGGATGTGACAAGAAGGTCTGGGATCAACCTCCATGGACATGTACAGATTATGGGCTTGGGTGGTGTCACTTACCTGGTTGAGGCTGTTCTGTATAGAGGGCCAGCCTTACACCTCTTGTCCTGTTTTCCCTGGGGAAGATGACAGGGTATAACAGGGCACAGAGTGGCACAGGTGTCTGTAGGAGATCCAGTTCAGAATATATTGAAAGCAGAAGCAGAGCCGGAGCAGGCCAACTGGCAGTAGGAAGATACTGGATATCATATGCGTGGTCAGATGGACAGAGGTCAGCAACAACTGCGCAGCAGGAGTGCAAAGTCAGGGAAAAGGAGCAGAGTCAGATCCAGGCCAAGGTCAGCATCAAGTGGGCAGATGTACCGAAACAGCTGGCAGGAAGGAAGGTCGGGTCACAAACCAGAGTTAGCAACATAGGTTCACGAACAAGCAGGATGGGGAAGCCGGGTGAGGATACAGATGAGCACAGGATCAGGTCACAAGCAGAAGGAGCTGACAACCAGTCAGCAATGAACCTGAGTCCTGTAAGGCTTTACCCTCTTCATACCGGCGCCTCCCGGCCCTTTAAGAGTTTCAGAAGCCAGGAGGCGGGGCAGGGTTTAGGGATCATGTAACTGTCATGACGCGTCGTCACGGCGGTCACATGATCGGGAAAGGTCCCGATCGAGAGAGGAGATCGGGACCTTTCCGTGAGTACCGGACGTGTGCTGAGAGCGCGGAAGGGTTTATATGTCTGTTGAGTCTTTGATGGTGTCTATGTTCCCTTGATGGGAGATTCCCTGTCTCTTTTTGTCCTGGTGACTCTTGTCCTCAGCACAGAAAGTGAAGGAAATCCAGCATCTTTTGTTTGTCACTGATAAAGGAATAGAGGGGGGGGGGGGACTTCCAATAGGGCACTTATCTATGAGAGGATTTACTCTCAGTTCCTTTTGTATCTCTGGGAGTGACAGTGAAGGAAAATTTCTCCAATAGAACAGAGGCAGCTAAAAAAAAAAATATGTTAATAAAGTGACGCTAAACCTAATCCACAAAAAAGTGACAAGCAATAGTGTACAAGTGCATGTATGAATATGAATATATAAACTTTTTGGATCTCATTTCCATTACAAGGGTGACTACACTTGCTTGACATGGTCCCACTGTATATTGGATGTATAGCCCACCCTCCTCAGCACATTTTTGCAATGGACTACATTTGTACATGCCAAGGCATCCAGTACCAACATCTGAAATCCACTCATTCATCGCAGCACTATCCACTGGCTAAGCAACATCAGGCAATTGACACTTGTGGGAGGTACCAGAACTGATAAAGCCAATGGTCATGCATGTGCATTTTAATATACAGGCATAATACATCCTAGTAGATGCAGTCAATGTAGAACAATGCACATGACCGTAATAAATGTGCACTGCTCGTACCCCAAAATCGTGAGGCGAATACTCTTCTGAAGATACCATGGTGAAGGGGAGGATCAGAATGCAGAAAAAATGCTAAGTAAACATTGTTTGTGAATTAAAATCCCAAAGTGGAGGAGGTAGTCCCTAAAGAGACTGGGCTTGGTTTAGCAGAACTGTATTGGACTACAAGTCCCAGAAGCTGAGTGCTGGAAAGAGAAGGAAAACAAAGGAGAAGCCAGGTCTCATGGCAGTCTCATGAGTAAAGTGAGAGGTGACTATTAGAGTGGGCTACTGTGTTGGAGAGCTGCCTGCTGTACTGTTTGCTATAGTTTCGGACAAATACTAGGCTGCCACATCTACACAAAGGTCACAGCAGTCAGAGAGCATCACCCATTCCGTGGAAGAATGCCATTGCCTGGTCCTGAGTCATCACGAACATCACCAATTCTGGATGCCAGAGAATAGTAGGAGGCTTATTTACACACTTATTGGTGGTGAGAGGCTGCTGGCCACAAATTCCCTGCCCAGTTCTTATAGAGATGGTGTCACCCCCAACTTGGGATATAATTGGGGTACTTACAACCTGTACTGTGGGATCGCCTTAAACCTTAACAGTCCAATGCATAGACTTTGGTCCCAATGGTTTAACTACACTGGCCAGAGGGAGGGGTTTGGAAAGAATGAAGTACCTTTAGCTCCCATTACCGGCACTTTAGTAAGAAACCGCCCTAGTTTCAGGGTTCAGAGGCAGAGACACTGGTTCATCCTGTTATTTATGGTGTTGTGCAAATTAATTAACTGATATTTTATTTGTGGTATTACACAAATTAATTATCTGAATCAGTGTTTATTGTTATTGCTGTTTTACTTTGTTGCCTTTTGGGAATACTTTCCCGAACAAATCCTCCTCATTTAGCCATGGTGTGTCAGAGGGTGTGGCATTGCTGGAAAAGTCTTTGTCATCTGGAATCAGGGGACCCATACAGTAGCAATAATTGCATGTACAATCCTACAGGCTAGTTGTACCCAGGGGCGGACTGACCATTCGAGCACTCGGCACTGCCCGAGGGCCCGGGGTCAGTAGGGGGCCCCATGAAATGCTCCTGGTACCTTTTATGGGTTTTTTTTGAGTGTGGGCAAGGACACTGGGGCCCCATGATCCCCTATTGCCCGGGGGCCCCATGAGTTGTCAGTCCACCCCTGGTTGTACCCAAGTTGATCAATCTATTTGGGTACATTCAGCCTGCCCATACATGGTTTTAATCTCAGCTGGTCCGAGATTCGAACCGTCTATGATCGACTTTACAAAGAAGCAAATCTGATGTAAGCTACAAGCTATTCATGTTTATGGCAATGTGGTGTATTAGATTAAGCTCCTGTTTTCCTAAAGACATGATTCCTTGTTTTCCTAAATACATACTTATGTAGCTCAGCTATGCAGCTATAATAGTCTTCTATGACCACAGTTACATCAAAATCAATTTTGGTTTGAAAGAAATGTAACTAATAACAAAATTACAATATAGGTAGAAGATGGGGATTTTTCCATGGTCTGAATTCGCTGAGACAAATAAAAGAAGTCATTAATTCCATTGAACAGATAAACAACAACTTACATGGTCCACACAAATATTTATTTAGTAAATACACAGCAATATGCTACACAGTATAAAAAAGAATAAATAGAATAAAAGACTATTAAACAAAACAAAGTCCAACATGGACAAAGTGCATTGAAGGAACCAGTTCAGGAAGATTGCGTGCTGGTTAATTTGTTCCCCGTATCTTTTCGGTCATAAACAGGTAGTAATAGATGTGACTTTGGGAAAAGAAGATGTATTCATATAAGTCCTGAACTTTATCTCAGAAAGCTTGCAATCAATTCTGTGCTTATGAGTTATCATAACACTGAGTGTTATTCCATATATACTGGGGAATTTATGGAACACCTACAGAAACTTGGAGGAAGAGGAGGGTGTCATCCATAGCGACCAATTAAATGTCAAAGAATTATAATGAAGAGGCCTAGAACAGTGCAAAATCATTGGATAAGAATCACCCCTTCAGTAAGCACTCTTCCTTTGCATGCATTGTATAAAGTACTATCTAGCTCCTCTACTCCTCCCCTGGTACGCCAACCACAGCTCCTATCTGTTAAAATTTCATTTATAAGGCCAGCATTTATCAAGACAACCATACAGAGGACAAACTACATCTTAGGTGGTCATAGGATAGCACAATCTGTTCATACAGGCATGCAAGTGTATGTTCTGAAGAGTGGAAGAGATACCTCAAGCAACTATGATTGAGCAAAGTATTTAATGTTGCCTAATTTTCGAGATTGGTTGATTTGGGATGCCTGATGGTGCCCCAAATATGAGATTGTTATAATTATTTCTATTGATTTATACAATCTAATCATTTTCCATGGCGATGGATGACAAGGGAATGTTGTATAGGCAATACAATGCATAAAATGTTTATCTGACAAGTACAACCAGTAATAAGTATAATCATAGCAATAATAGGAAACAATAGGAGAGATCCCAATACTCGCTTATAATCTAGATCTAGATTTTTTAACATGGAGGAACCCTTGAAAAAAACTTTCAGCTCTTAGGGAACCCTTACCACTAATTACTATATTGTTAGCTCACAGTACATTACCATGTTGGTCAGGGAGCACAATGCTCCCTGCATTGGTGGTCATTTGGAAGAATTATCCTTACATTGAAGATCAGTGGACAGAATACTCCTTACATTGGTAGTCATTGAGAAGAATGACCCTTACATTGGTGATCAGTGGAAAGGGTGTCCATACATTGGTGGACAGTGACAAGAGTGGCTCTTACAGATAGCCAAATAGATTACTGGTGTCAGTGTTTTTTTCAGAGAGGCAAAAATATATAATTCCTTAAGGAACCTCTAGCAACTTATGGAACCTTTGTTGAGAAAGGCTGACCTAAACTGTTTCCACATCCAGCTGATGATCATCTCATGTCACTTTGTCCTTCTCTAGTTGTCAGTTCCAGCCATGACACAAAATGGACAAACTGTCTGTTTCTGCATTTCTGACCTCAGCCTTGGCATGCTTTGTCTGCATATGAGTTCTTATCTTCAAAATGTAATAATGTTTGCCAATCAACTGGACTGGACACAAGACATTTTGCCTAGGAGGACAGGAAATATAAGCTTCACCCTACCTAGCAGTGGTAATTTCAGACCTGTCCTATTTTCTCATGGATTGTGAATAGCACATGTACCGGTATTTCTAATCTGCACCCCTGTATGTTAAGCTGCACTAAAATCTATTGTATAATTATGATTATTTCTACTAAGCATGGAAGCTTAAATATGAATAACTAATTTTTTGGACTTGTTCTACATTTTAGCTTATCCATTGCGTTTTTGTGCTAGCTAAAGAAGCCATTAAAGGTTGTTTTAGATGTTGACTTCTTAAGATGTTGCTAAATTTGTGTAACAGTATATATGAAAATTGAATCCTTTCCCCATTCAAGCAGCTGGAAACATTGACTTCAGATCCTGCAGTGCCACCTGCAGGTAAAATCTCAGATTTTACTCAAAGTATTCAGCTGTAATTATGCTATATAGGAAAAAATTATATCCTGTAACTCATTTAAATTAAATTATACTCTGCATACAATTAACTTAGCCATTTGAAGTTGAATTTTGGGTCCCAAGCCGCAACTACTCCTGCTGTGCATGGCAGTAGGCATACAATATGTACAGATTCAATGGTCCTGAACCAGTTTGTCTCTTGAGGCCAAAAAAGACCAAATGATCAAAAGTCTTTTACCAAAGAATAAATATCCTGCTGCTCTTTAACTGAAGGTATATGAAGGCATCCATACGTACTTTAAACAGCTGCCCTTGGAATCCAAGAAAAGTGATATAATGATGCTTGAGGCTAGAGCACAAAAGAAAATGGAGCTTGCAGCACTGCTGTCCCATATGATAAATAAGGATCGGTATATAAAACCACACTTGTAGCTGTGAAAACAGCAGCTAGACTCTGTCTTGTTGTTGAATCAAGTTTGTCAGGAAGGTAATCAGAGGTGAGGCAGGCTGAATGACATCATATTCGGCAAAGACATGGCACACGTTGTTTGATGGATCTGTTGGATTCTTTGCTACAAAGCCAAATATCCTAAAATGAAACAAAAACATAAAAGTCATCTCTTGGGACTTTGCATCTTATCTAATATTATTATCAAATATTAATTTTATGATAGGGTTTTCACTGGAAATTCATAACTCCTAACTTTCTAAGATGAAAAAGATTATTTAAACCCTCAAGTGTGTTTTTTTAAATCTGAAACTTGTCTTTTATACTGCGTTCTGAAAATAGCAAATAACAAATCTTCACTTTATGAGTTCAGTTGCACTTTAATTGATCATGATTTTGACACATGCTGATTTTGAACTCTACAGAAGTGCAATGAGGATATTTTTTGAAAATAAGTCATCCCTATGTATTATGTGAAGCCTTTTCTCCAGTTCAAAGGTGCCAACATATGGGACTATATTTAATTTTTTCCAAAGGAATTTTGAGATTATGAATCTTCCTCAAAAAAAGTGTCATATTTAAGGTATTTTAATTGTTTAAAACGATCATCCCAACAAAGAATAATTCACTATCTACCTTTGTGCTGTTATTCTCAACCAGGGTTCCAAGTTGCTAGGGGTTCCTTGAACAGTTGCTAATGACCTCCCATTGGATGGTGCCCGCATAGACCCAGGACCAAAGCTATTTATCAGAGCAGGCAGCATAACACCAATGATCTTTTCAGCTTTAAGGGTAGCATTCTGACCACCACGGTAAGGATTGTATTCTTTCTATTGACCATCAATTTAAGGGGTATTTTTGCTAATGTCCTCTGACTTTGGTAAGGGTTCCCTGAGACCTGAAAATTATTTTAAGGGTTCCTCTAGGATAAAAAGAAGAAAGGCTGGCCTAAAGTGAGTAAGTTAATTCTACAGAGTATCTTACCTTGAAGATTTACATTGTCTCTGCCACCTGAAAAAAAACATATGTGTAAATTTCATACAGTGAACATCTTGCCATTTTATTCCCATACATTGTTCTTATTAATTACTTACATTTTATGGAACATTGCTATTTAGTGAAATCTTTGATCTGGAATTGTGTTATGCCCACCTTTGATTTGTTACTAGTACACTTAAAGCATATCTATAGCACATTTCTTCATTTTAGTATTGGATAGGGAGTGGATAGAAGCTCGAAACTCAAGTGTTTATTTATGTCTTTACTCACATTGTAAAAATTTACCCCATTTATCCTGGTAACCATTGGCACGAGAACAGAGACTGATGGCAATACACATTTTAAAAATGTCATTAAAACATAGAAGAAATCTTTCAATGAGATCATTGGTTTCTGTAATAACTGTAAAAAAAAAAAAAAGGAATTTCCCATCCTTTTAGAGTGATTACTTCTCACGTCCTGCTATGGAGAACCTGACAATGGGTTTTATCTCTTCTCCACACTATCCAACACCAAAAAAAAATGTTTGCCAATAAAAACCAAAATAAATATATATAAATATATATATATATATATATATATATATATATATATATTCTGTATATGTATATATATATATATTTATTTATTTTTAATATATACATATATATTATTAATATACAGGATTTATATAGCGCCAACAGTTTCCTCAGCTCAACATATATATTAATTTTACTTTTCTTTTACAAGGGAATACATCAGGATAACTGAACATATAAGGATCCTTTTTATTATATATAATATTACAGCTTGTTTTAATAATGGTCTTTTGTGATGCTTTGACGCAGATTGCAACATCACTCTACAATCATGATTGGTAGGAGTTATGTGTGCGCAGTTGAGCATCCCTAAACTACATCAGACTGCAGGTGTTATTACTCACACTTTGTTCACACTGCCTAAGGCTATCCACTTTTGTGTAACAGGGTGGGGATCAGGACTCCACCCTCACCAAGTCCAAACAAGATCTCCACATTATAACCACAGGCTTACACCATCACGCTCATAATATTGTTGCTTTTCTATGGATTTTATATATAATTTATTTATTTATTTTATTTTTTTCATTTTATCCCTATCAATGCTTTTATGTGTATTTGCACATCACTTGTCTAAATGGCAAAATCCTCAATTTTAATGCTGTGAAATGTTTTGATTGTCAAAAGATTTTTTAATTCAGCTCAGCTAGTCGTATCATCTAGGCATGTCTGCCAGACAACACAGAATAATCCTGGACCTCCCTACAGACTACGCTGAAGATTGGTCATACAGGTTGGTCTAGGATCTACACCATTCTCTAAAAATAAAGCAGCAGGACAATGACAAGGTGTGGTGTTGTGCTGGGCGGAGGTTTTTTGGACGTTGGTTTCCCGGGGGTGGGTGGTAATAGGGCGCAGGATGGTGTGTTTGGTCAGCAGTGGTGGGCAGCAGTAGTGGACCATGGTTCCCAAGGTGGGGGGGGGGGGTGGTGCCCAATTACCTAAAGCAGCACAAGCTGGGTATAGCTATGTAAAACATTACAAATAAGTGCCTAAACTGTTTAAAGTCCAGTAATACAATGTCTCATCCTGTTTTGCGCATGCTCAGTTGCTCTTTATTTTTAGGCACTGTGTCAAAAGTCAGAGGCACTAGAGGCTGATCAGCTGACAGCCTAAAGATTTACAGCTGCTCAGGTTCTCTGGGCTTCAGCAAAAAGGCAGCCACCAGCAAGACGAAATGGGAAGAGTGCAAATTACAGCTCACTAATTATAGTAGCATAGTTATTAATGTGGAATGTATGTTTCTTGCTAAAGAACATTATTTTTTATCAAGTTGTCATGGGTAAAGTTCCCATATCTGTTTCTTCTTTGATTCACACACCAATATTCCTGTTATCACTGGATCTGATTTGTGGACATATCCAATATTAATGCTTACACATTCAGAGCCCCTCTGTCACAGAGAAATGTATGGAGAGTTGTGAAAGACTGCACCACTGCAGGGTCAAAGGCTGTTGTTGTGGAGGCAATCTCGCTTTTGCTTGTATTTATAAAAATGGTATATTAGCTGTATACTCAAGTTGAATAGTCACATGTCTTGCTTTACAGTGCATACTAAATCACTTGTAAGACTGCACTTTGACCAAGACAGTGGTTACCAGAGAACATAAAATTTTTTAGTCACATGCAATAATAGCTTCTACCAGTGGGTATCGCTATAGCTTAGATCTGCAAGAGCAGGATCGGTGAAAGAGGGCACCCTTCTAATTTACATTTTCCATAATCAGAACCACATAAAGAAAACTACTCTACTCACTTCCTGAGGTCAGGGTCCACGCTGCAGAAGCTGAGGGTCGACACAGGGTAGTGACGTCTGAAAAACACTCTGGGAAATAGAAAATACAGGTCAGTCACTAACCAAGCAGATAGTGACTTTATTACAGCAACATCGCCAGTGAAAAGTCCTTACTTGCGCTGGATGTCGGTCAGGGTCACTCCTTGTTCACTGGCTTTAAAATTTACGATAGTGGGCACCTGGAGGCTAGCTTTCTCAAAAGTGACGGTCACTGCCTTTCTGGATGGCACTGGATCCAGTCAGGGTTTCGGTACTGATGGAGCTCAGATACAAGACATTGCATGCTGTGTGGAAAATAAAAAGCACAACACATTTATTGTTTACAGGATGATATTTTGAAGGCATGTTGTAGATTTTGATTTGTTGGTGAGAAGTTTCAAGCAATCGGCTACTGCTACTTATGCAGATGGATAAACTGTGCTGTATTGGGGATATGTTCCCTGGAACATAAAGCGCAAAATCCCAAATGGATCTAGATTCCATGAAGCCTTACTGTTAACCTTTGTTGACTTTATGGCACTTTCTTGCTTTGATGGAGCTTGACCGCCCACTCCCGGCTCTCAAAGCTTGTTGTTGAATCTGGATGCCAGAAGATCCAAATCCAGACTGCTGTACCTGCGGCAAAAGGCTTGAAATACTGCTGGTTGGAGAGCAGATTCCCCTGGATCCAGATGCTGGTGGCTGAGAAAGTCCACCTGCCAATTTTCCATACCTGATATATAGGCGGCGGACAGGGCCGCCAAAACGAGGATCAAGTCCTCTTCCCTTTGTATCTCTTTGTGTGAGAGTCAGAATGGGCGGCCACGTTTAGTCAGTGAAGTAGTCCAATTATAGCAATGGGCCAATAGAAATGTTGGGGTGGCCAGGAATCGGCAAGCTCTGACACTACCCAAAATTTAGGGAATTCGGAAGTTCTGAAGAATACCTAAGGTATTATAAAAATGTAATAAAGGTATACAAATGGTATAATAAATAGTGAACATGTATAGTTGCAATATAATGTACAGTACAACTGAGTAACAAAATAAGTACCTAGTAAAAACAAGGATACCTTACCAGAGAATATTGGCCATAGTGGCAAGAATGTGACCCAATTTTAAGGGTGCTCAGACCCCCTTATTAAAAAGGATCTCCCTGAGAAATCATCTCCATATTTTTTTTACTTGATTGTACTATACAGTCTATTGCCAACATACATGTTCCCTGTTTACCTATTTACCCTGTGTACCTTTGTATGTCTTTACTATATCTTTATAATATATTACATATTTGTGCATCAGTACTGTAGTTGGTGTGCTACTTTCATTTATTTTCACTGGTTTACCATGATTGATTGGAGGCTGAAGGATGACCCTTAACCCCTGTGTGCAAGATGCTATTCTAAAGATCTGGCCATACATTAGTAGAATTTTGTTCCAAATTTTGGTTTTAGGAATGTTTACTACACTTTCTAATGTTTAGTGGGGCGAATTTGATGTTCATTTTTTACTGCAGTGACAATTCGAAGGAGCAGGATGGAACATATTTTAAAAATGTACTAATTTATAACAATGAATGTGGTTTTCACTTGTTTTGAATATAAAAGCAAACAAAACATTGAAGTATTTTTGACATTTATCAAGTCATCAAATGTGTTAACAATTTTTGTACAAATTTTCGTAAATGTGTGCAAACGTTTGTTCAAAAATCTTCTAGTGTATCTCCAGCTTTATTTATTGTAGGTAGGTAAAGACACCTCCAGCACCTTACACCTCTCAGCATTTTTTTTTATGGGACAGAATTACTTTCAGTAGAGGGATAAACTATATCCATAATGTAATATGATATCATTTTAGTGCTGCTTTTTGTCTTGTCTAGAAGCACATAAAAAAGACTGAAAGGACAACATGGACAGTGATATACAGTATACTAGCTATACATTTGGAATTTTTATCTCACCAGCTGAAGTCTTGAGCTCTGATGTAGCATCTGGCAGACAATCTGGGCTGCTGTCTCCATCGCTCGCTGTAAATAATCAATCAATAAGTTTTATTGCAATGGTTTTTTTTTTTCCATGAATCCCAAAGAGTGTGTAAAATGTTAAAAGGGAAAAAATTATTCAGTCAGTTTTTTTCTGTTTTATTGTTTTTATTTTAGTTATTAGTGATTGATATTCTATGGCTGAACTAGATGGACTTTTGTCTTTTTTCAGCCAGACTAACTATGTAACTATGTATATTATATAACAATGCTAATTAATGATATAAAATTTTTATTTTACAAAGAGAGATCTAATTTAAAGTACCAATATTGTCATTCTGGGTTTTCTAAAAAGAAAGCCCAGCAACAGCTCTCTAATCTAAAACCCTGTAAAATGCTATACAAAGCAGGGAAGGGCAGAAGAAGCTGTAGGTTAAGATTTCCTTTAACACATGCTCTGATCATAGCCAGGCCAATACATTCTATATGTATGTGAACATGAATGACATGCTTACCTTTGTCAGAGATACGCATTTTGCAGGGTAAAGATATTGGGGTGATTGTGTGCTGGTACACCAGTGCAGAGAGGCTTCCTAGAATAAAGAACAGGAACAAAATCTGTAAGACTTGAACTGATACATGAAATGCATAAATCTGCCTAAATATGACAGAAACACTCTGGTCCAGAAAACGTACCGAAGTAAGGCTCCTCTGCAGCACCTTTCAGATGGACTCCTTTTGCGGATGATTCAATTAGGAAGTGTCGGACAAGCTCATTTGCTGTGTTATCTGTTGGTACAGTAGAAACTGTGTTATGACTCCACTGAGTGATGTCTAAATGTTAAGAACCATAAATTTGGGTGTCCTTTTATTTAACTTTATTATTCATTAACTTCAAAATACCAACCAAATTGTTCTCTTCAGTACTCACAAGACCTCTTGCTCTCTAGCTCCCTTATCACCTCCTCTCATGCTCACCCCCGGGACTTCTCCCTAGTCTCACTCATCCTTTGGAACTTCCTACCCTAATCTGCCTGACTATCTCCTACTCTATCCACCTTTAGGCGATCCCCAAACACTCATCTCTTTAAACAAACCCATCCTGGTTTTAACTAATAATCTGTCTTTTTACTTTTCCATCAGCTCATCCCCCCCAGTTATTAACTTTTGTATCAGTTGACCCTCCCTGTTAGACTGTAAGCTGTAACTAGCAGGGTCCTGATTCCTCTTGTATTGAATTGTATTGTAACTGTACTGTCTGCCTTCATTTTGTAAAGCGATGGCGCTATATCAGGGGCGGACTGACCAGTAGGCAGAGTCAGTAGGGGGCCCCATGAGATGCCCCTGGTACCTTTTTCATAGGCTTTTTTTGAGCTTGGGCAAGGACACAGGCGCCCCATGATCCCCTATTGCCCGGGGCAGGGGCAGACTGACAACTTATGGGGCCCCCAGGCAATAGGGGATCATGGGGCCCCTGTGCCCTTTCCCAAACTCAAAAAAGCCTATGAAAAAGGTACCAGGGGCATCTCATGGGGCCCCCTACTGACCCCGAGCCCTCGGTCAGTGCCCGAGTTTCTAAATGGTCAGTCCGCCCCTGGCCCGGGGGGCCCCATGAGTTGTCAGTCCGCCCCTGCGCTATATATATATATATCCTGTATAATAATTGCTCTCTTTCTCTCTTTGCTTGCCTATGTCCTACTTTGACTAGTATATCATTTCTGTGCTCAACATTGTAAGCAGCTACAAGCATTCATTTAACATTTACTGATCAGTATATTTATCATTGAATATTATTACCTAGAAGGACCTTATTGCCAGATCTACAGATTTTCAGCAGTATTTGAGAAAACGTTCATCATTTGGCAAGCCATAGTGACTTGAGTCATTGTGAGTCATACAGTGTGCTGCAGTGAAGGTTTCCATCTCAAATTACTCCATTCCAAAGTTCCAGTGACTAATGTTGTCTTACATTACTGCCTATGATTACAAGTCACCTCTTTTTCTAGGTCATGTAACAGACAAAACCCCATTTATTCTCAAATGTGCCAAGCCCTTAGTAGGAATGCCAAAACATAACACAACAGACTCTTATCAAACGAGCCCACTGAAATTCTGCAATACAGTTTTCTATTAGGGATTAACAACTACAGGTCCTTCTACGAAAGATATAATGTGGATCGCTGATATATTTTCCTATATCACACAATTTACAAAAAGTTGTGTGTTTTTCCATTTGAAAGTAACCTAACCAGGGCAAAAAAATTCCAATACTAGGGTCGTTGGTTCGAATCCCAACCACAGCACCACCTGACTAAAATTTTCATCTTCTCCCTGTGCCTGTGTGGGTTTAATCAGGGTACTACGGTTTCCTCCCACACTCCAAAGACATGCTGGTAGGTTAATTTGATCCTGTCTAAATTGACCCTAGTATGCGTATATATGAATGTACGTTAGGGACTGTAGATTGTACTGGACTCTGCCTGGGGGAAGGGTTGCATGTCTCCTCCTCCTAGGTCGCTGTCTGGGGGGGGGGGCGCCCAAGTGCGTGTGAGGCAAATCCTGAGTCTGCGGCCTAGGTTTACACTGCTTTGCTGGAGGTGGCTTCTGTCAGCTGGAGTGGAACCAATCCTGGGAAGGAGCACCAGGGAGGAACTTTGAGTGGAGATGCCTGAAAAGCTAGAGTTTGGCTTGGACCTTACAGGAAGTTTGGTGTCTTGCCCAGGGAGTTTGTGCAACATCTGCTCTAAAGTTGTGTGTTCAAGAACAGGGGCGGACTGACAACTCATGGGGCCCCCGGGCAATAGGAGATCATGGGGCCCCTGTGTCCTTGCCCAAACTCAAAAAAGCCTATGAAAAAGGTACCAGGGGCATCTCATGGGGCCCCCTACTGACCCCGGGCCCTCGAGCAGTGCCCGAGTTTCCAAATGGTCCGTCTGCCCCTGTTGAAGAATCACATCATGCAGGCCTGGCTATAAGGGTCCTTTACCTATGAAGACTGTTACGTAGAAACACTGTCACCTAGGAACATTTTAGGCCAGGTCAGGTTCTCTACTAATTGTCCACAATTTCTATAGTGCAAGCACAGCATGCAGATCTTTGACAGAGCTTTTAATCTCATGGCCCTACTAACTCAAACACACACTAGCGGTAGTTTAGAAGGTAGATAGTTAACTTACCAATAGGTCTCTGCTTTGTGAGAGGAAATGGGGGCACTTGGAGAAAGCCAACACAAACACAAGCAAAACAAACTCAGAGAGTGTCTGAGTGTCTGGGAATTAGCCTCACAAACAAGAAAACTTTCTTTGTGCAGCAAACTAACCTGTTTTGGAGGACGTTCCTGGAACCTTCATAGCCAGCCCAAAGGATCCACGGTAGGATGTGCTATCTCGGATAATGAAAGTTCCTGGCTCTGTGTTCTTTAAATACTCGATAGCTGCGTTTAAAGCAATAGATATTTTAGCCATCACTCTCTCTCTCTCTCTATATATATATGTCTGTCTATCAATTAATTTTTCTTAGTAGTTGTAGGAGGACTATGTTTTGACCCTGGCTGCACTGGCATGTAGCGTTGGCGCCCACAACAAGAACGGACAGGGAAGTGTGGCTATGCCAGCTCTACAGTAAGAGCATGTAGAGATAGTGTAGCCGCCCTCAAAAATGAGGCTTCAAAAAATAATTAGACACATAGGAGCAATCATGGATAATTACATAGAAGCAACCATGGATAATCACATATACTGTACATATATGTGCAATGGAAGGTAATGAAATTAAATCATTGTTTATTTGGGTTTTAGTTACTTTAGTTACTTTAAATTTAGTGTAAATTTACTCTACAGGGTTGTAACAACAGTATTTGTAATGGGGTCCCATGGCAATTCCTTTAAGGGGCCCATTTATCTTTAATCCCTGTCTCAAAGTCATCTCCTCTAGCTATAAAGAATATGAATTGCTTTCAAGGCAATCTTATAGACAGGGCCAGTGCTTCCACTAGGCAAACTAGGCAGCCCCCTAGGGTGCACTGCTGCCTAGGGGCACCTGGGCACAGCACAGGATGAGACTCTCTTGGTGTAGCACATCACCAGGTCATGAATGATCCTTCAGCTGAGGGGAGGGGCGGCAGAGGGGAAGGATAAAAGGACAGAGGAAAATGCCGGTTGTCTAGGGCAACTGAGCTGCTGCTCCTTTCAGTGTTCCTCTCAGACTCAGTGCCTTACTGCAAGCCGGATGAAGGCTGCTGATCACTGTGGAGTTCAAGCCCTTCTCTTCCCAATCATCATCATTGGAGGCAGAGCTGTGCCTGCGGAGGAAGGTAATGTCTGACGTTGATGTCTCATGTCTGTGTGAGTGTGACCCGGCCGGCCATCCATCACATGTGCAATGTGTCAATGGGTGGCAACATCATCATGATCGCACAGCTTGCACTTCTAGTGCCTGCTGATCTGTGTTGGCTGTGGTGTGTTGTGTTGTGTCAGATCTGTCACTGCGTGGGATCGCTCAGTTCAGGTGTTCTCAATGTGTGTGTGGACTGGGCTGCCTGCTATCACAATGTTTTTTTTTTTCTCCCCCCATTGCCTCAGGAATTCCAGACTGGGATCCTCTAGAGCTACCTCATGGCATTTATTTTTGTAAATTCAAAGACATTTAGCAGCTTCATGTTTTGTTGATTTAATATTTTATGCTTTCAAAAATTTTTTTTTTGGGGGGGGGGGGCACTAGTAGCTGGTCTTGCCTAGGGCACATAATAGTCTAGCACCGGTCCTGCTTATAGACATTCCCAAACTATATCTAATTGTTTGGCTAGAGGTCCTTACCTTGGTCTCGAGTAATGCTGGGCTTAAACCAGAGTTTGGACGTGTCCATGACAAACTTCATGCCAGGTTGACCATCTTTTACAGTGCCTGAGAAAAGAATAGCAGATATTGAGTTTTTTTGCAATGTAATATCTATAGGCAAAGAGTGCCTTAAATTAAGCTGCCTTTAGTGAATTTATTATTTATTATATAATTGTCAGTGCATTAGGGATTTGGCACATAAACAGAATATAGAATTTCCAATGCTCTTACTGTCTGAACATGTTGGGATAGAAGACTCAGAGTATGTTTTGTTGAAACTTGAGGAGCCTCTTCTTTTGGATCCATTCAGTAGGTTTCTGGAGGATTTGGGGGAGAGATCTTCATTTTCTAAACACCCATTGATCAGAAGGATGGGGATGTCCATACTGGAATTATTGACAGACGGGGGGCAACTGTTGGCATGACCTTTCGTAGAAACATGAGGAGAAAATTTTCGAGTGATAAAAACTGCCATGGTGGTCAAACCGATGAATTGGAGTGTTAGGCGACATTATTGCAGGACTGTTTAAATTGGAAAAGGACCCCACTGACCCAAGTGGGCTTTCTGACATTCTTGAAGAGAATTGGTGGCCATCTGTGTCATCGTATGGAAGAGAATGAGTACTGTTTGAATTAAAATAATAAATGTTACATGAGATTTTTCCATAATTGCTTTATATAACAAAAGACAAGGCAGGAGAAAGTTTACAAATTACAGGTTAAATATATCTACTCAAAAGCCAAGGATGGCTATGATGGCTATCTATAGTGTAAAGTACTTGTATTAATACTTTTAACAGTACCAGTGTTGCTACTCTTCTAATTTGTTATCAAGGCTTTAAGTCACTTACCTTCCCAAAATATAGTTGGTGTCTGATCCTGGACTTGTGGATATGACTGACATCTCACTGGAGTGGAATGAGGGCTTTGCGTAGAATAAGCTGTCAGAGCCAAGTGATGAGGACAGCATAGAATTAGCTTGATGTGACCTTTTACTTGGGACAGCAATGGTTTCTGTGGCTTGGCGGATAACTCCCATGGATGAACTATGATGCTGATCTTGCCACTTGCTGGCATGGGATTGAGGTTCGCAGAATATGAGACTATCATTTGGGGTGCAGTTACTGTCTGTTCCCCGTGAAATGAGCATGCCCTCAAACTTTGGTGTGGGACTTGAAGATCGTTGTATGTTCTCATGAGCAACTGCTCTGGTCAGATTCATCTCCACGCATTTTATTGCTGGTAAAAGAGCAACAATTTGTTTATTCATTAATGATATTACATTTTATTTAAAGATGTATTAATAAATACAGAGAAGAATTCCATTGTGTCTTTTATGTCTGCCTGGAGTTAGGCTTTAAATATAAAACAGATGGGATTAAAATTCTGACATTAAAATTACTAAGCTCATTTACTTTGTACTGAGTCGTCACCATACAAATATTTTTATTGCCCTCTCCCCAGTCCAGAATATCTGCTTGCTGACAAATGTCTAGGTCTGTCTGTTTTGGCCATAAGCGTATATGATTAGGTCTGCATAGGGTCAAACTGCCCAAACCCAACTCTAAGCAGAATGAGTAGCTTAAGCTTTGTATGCTTTGCCATCTTATCTTGTGGACTGAAGTTGATGACAGATGAAGATGGTGATGATCACCTTTGGTTTGTTACACAATAGTTCTTAAACATTTAATTCTAATTTATTTAGTATTTTTAGCCATCACCCAAATACTTAAAGTTGTTTTCCTTCAACATATATCAGAAGATGATGTCAATTTTTTTTTAAATACTGCAATGATTAGTTTGCTGCCTCAAGCAAACGTTATCGTGATAAGCCAAATGAAAAGTGCAGTCAAATGTCAAAAATGATTAATTCTTTTCAGTATACTATTTCAGGTGTGCTGTTACCTGTGCAATCATGTCCAAGAACCAAAGTACAGTTAAACCATGCTAGACTAAACATATATACTTCCCTTAAAGTCAGACATAACCTACATACAATGACGGGAGCCATTTGTCTTTTCTTTCTACTAAGAGGCCTCCTAGTAGTACTGTGTTAAGGTCCTTTGGCACTCAAGGCAAAGATGGCAAAATGCCTCCTTCCCACCTTCCTTGCCAAGTTAGTATATGATTATTGTATGTCCACATATACATTTGTAGAAGCACAGCTGGACTGCCCAGAAGAGCAGAAGCCCTGCAGGCTGAGAACATCTCCTAGACAAGGACCCTGGTGTTCTAGCCCTCAGTCAATTTATGCAACCCCCCCAGCCATCTACTGGGCACACTCCCCCAGAGATTGGCTGGGACCACATAAATATGCAGACTGCCAGTGTAACTCTCTCAGACTACTGCATTCCAGAATTCTCTAGAAAGCAGGTGAAAGCAGTTAAACCTGCAACCAGTGAAACCCAGAACAGCCCAAAATGAGCACAAGCTGCTCCACTGATTACAGGCAACCAAAAGAACTAAATTTACCTAACCTAACTAGCAGCCTATCTAAGAGAGCGCTACAATAATAAGGGTTAACTATTGTTGTTTTTGGTGGTAAATAGAGACAACTGGTATTAAAAAAAAAATGACACGTAGGTAGTAAAGGACAAAATTAAACTGAAGTAGGATTACAGCCAATACATTTTGAGCAAAATAGGGAAAGGAATCAACCTCCATCAGGTGTGCTTCTGGCCTAATTTCTGTCCCAGTGACCATTGTCACCTGGACAGAGTATGAAGAAAGATCTGACGTTATACATTTGTTACTGGTACAAGAGTAATGTTCTCCATCTGGGGACATATGTTCTGGTGATAACTATTAAAAGATGGATTTCTCTTTACTTTGTGGAGATTTCCCCATAGGGTGCATACTGTTGTGAAGTTGGCTTTCTAAATATTGGCTTTCCTGCCAATCAACCACTTTAACACTCCAATACAGGGAAATTGCTGAGTGGTTGTCAGTTCCTGTGACCCATGACATGACCTGTGCTTTTGTGTGGCCTGGCTTGCATCCTGACTCTCCCGTACCTGTATCTCCTGCTGTTGACCTTGGCTTGTGTCCTGACTCTGTTTGCTGTTTTGGTCTTCTGCCCATTTCATTTGTACCTCTGCTGCCTGTTTTTTGTTGACTCTCACTTCCCTGTCAATGGTTCTGCTACCTGCTCTTGCATGGCCCTCTGCATTATCTGCAAACCAACATTCCACACAGATCTGGTCTGAACCACCCCAGGAACTCAGCAGCATCCACGCAATCTCCAGATTATCTGCTGCATCCAGACCTACTGCAGGCACCCATGCCATTTCTCATCCTGCTATGCCCTGTCATCAAGTCCAGGGAGTACTGGACTGGAGGTGTAAGAGAAGTCCTCTCATCAACACCACCAGGTATGTGAGTAATACACACCCAACAGAGATTTTCATATCGACCCAACTTTAGTCAAATCTACAAAAAAAGTTTTGGCTGAAGTTCCAATTCAACATAAAGGTTAACATTTTGAGTATTGATAATTTTTACAAATGATTAAAATAGTAGGTGATCATGCAGTAAGTACCATATACAATATGGCACCCTCTTAAAATCACAAGTTGAACCTGGCTTAGGATGGCTATGCCAATGAGTCTACGTCCTACACTAATACACTGCTCTCTCACTGACATCACAGGCCAATCCTATGCTGGCAGGCATATATTAGGAATATGACGGCTCTATTATAAAGCTACATTTAATAGCATGAGCTGCCTCACTGGGCAGGGCTGAGTTAATGAGGACAAGCGAGCCTTCCAGGCACCATATTATGTAATAATCACAGACTTATAACAAGTCAGTACTATGCCTATACTGTCCTAAATTGCAAAGCCCTCGGGTGGTTGAATATTTTGTGTGTTGCATTACCCGCCAAAAATGCATCAGTGGCGGCATCTTGCTAGTAACAAGGAGGTTTTTTTTTCTTTTTATATGCTGTCTGGGTCCCTGCTGGGCAGATCCAGCCCTCTGGTGACCATTGTTACCAGAAATGAAAGTGGGAAGAAAGTCTAAAATTTAGTGTTGTCACTGGAACAGAAGTAGAGGGAGAAATCTTCCCATGAGGACTCCAAAGACTACTGTCAGAAAAATCCGTTAACATTTATGGTAGGTGGCTTCTCTAGGATGCAGGCTACCAGCTCTAATGACGCTCTGGACATGGCCCTCCCAGACCAAACCCTGGCCACTCTGTGCTGATCCCGCAGCCACCTGGGAGATTTGATGAAAGTATTACAGGAGGCTGCAGGACCAGGCACATATCCTCCTGGCATAGGCTGGAATGGCGGCAGTGTGTGTGTGTGTGTGTGTGTATGTGTGGGGGAGGGCTAAAGATTATACAAATTTTAAAAATAGTAAAAAAAATCCCAATTCTGCTTGCTGGGGGGGGGGGGGGGGGGGGTTAAAGCAGAACTAACTTCCTTTTGAGAGTTATTAGCACTTAAAGTATTTACTGTTCCAAATTTCCCCCAAAATATGTTTTGGATGGAGTTAGACCTTTTAGGATATCTAAATCCAAGAACATAAATGTAATATATTGAAGCTTAAGAGCCCTTAGATATGGTGGCTGCATTCATTTTTCTTTAGCAAGGTAAGTACACTTTCAGCAAGTAGAAACTTACTAGTCAATATTGCTAGAAATATAGTTTCCTTGTCCCTTCCTGTGAGCTGAAGTGCATACTGTTGTTATCCTTCTTTCAAATAATTATACATTTTCAATGGAGATATTTTAAATAAAATCTAGGTGACAATCATGGCTCTTTCTGCAGGAAGTGTGCTATTTCCAGGATAACCAGGTGAAATAAATTAAAATAAAACTTTTGTAAGCACTGGTAGGATCAATATGTCACATTTTTTGTTTTTTGGGTTGAGATATGCTTTAAGAACCAAAATCAGAGTACAGTAAAATAGATTTTTTATGTAGTCTAGGACTTTTCTTACCTGGAGGGCTTGTGGTTTTGGCTGTAATTGGCCTACAGGGTGAAGGATCCCGTTTTTTTTTTTCTTGATTAGATCGGTGTTAACAGGCAAGGGTTGGAAGGTGGGATCCAGCTGTAAGATGAGCTGGTTGAGATGGTCTATGGATATATCCAGTGATGGAGATATTGGCTCTTCCTCATTGACTTCTACTTCTGATCCTTTAATAACTTTCTGTTGGTTAGTGCTTTTGGTTTGGTGACCATTTGTGGGAATGTGAGGTCCTTTCTCGGCAGACTTGTTAAAGGAACCAGAATTTGGGTTTTTCGGTCCACCACAAAGAGCTGTGTCAGCCAACTTGTGGCCACTCACCTGTGTTGTCATCTGCCCAACACACCGTTCTGAAGTGTAATAGGAGCATTTGGTCGTCATCGATAGACCTCTTGAGTGTGCCACTTGTCTAAAACCACCTCCATCTTCTGTGGATGCCATGCAGACCGACTGTCCCACTCGCAACACATGGTTAGGTATTACTTGGGACATGATCGTTTTCACTTTTAAATATGAACTTGGAATTCCTAAAACAGAAGGAGCAGTTGACTATTTAGAAAATAGAGCTATACCTTAAAGCTCTTATACTGAAGCTAATGACACCAACCCTTCCTTTTATATACAGCTAAAGCCAGAGTTAAGGGAGCCTAGAGTATTCATGAAATTAACATTTATATGCTATTATTTGCATATATATTTAATTATTTACAAGGACAGCCGATTTGAGATGTTGGTTTGAATTACCTACACTTTTGGACCACACACACAATTTATATGTATTAGGTGCATTTCAGGAACCCAGATATTTGGAGAATTAAAACTTTATCTTGTTACATAAATTCATATGTCAGTTATAATTTTTCAGACTTTTTTTTTTAAATGTGGAGTTTTGCTTGGTTGCTTTTTGCAAGCTTATGACAGTGTTTTATGTTAGGAATTCAGGTCTCCAGGCAGATATACAATATATATATATATATCTCAAGGAAAGAAAACAAAATAATAAACAAAAGTATTACAGTCCATCTATACTTTCCACAAAAAAATTACTGAAAAATACTTGTCCTGCAAAGTATTAATTTCTTTATGGACAAATAAATGAAAGTGTCTGTTGCAAATCTGTGTCCAGCTATTAGGCTGTGGAGCTGCTAAATGTGCGAGAGCAGCAGGCTCTCTGCAGCAGTCCAGCACCTTCCCCTGGCAAGTCAGAGCTAGAGATAGGCAATCAGCAGTTCACACTCCCTGCCAATTAGAGAGCTCTAGCTCTAGGCCACTGTTTACACAGACAGCAATGGCACGTGACTTATTCTGACTTTATACTGCCACTGAAATACAAGTCAGAGAACAAAGGGACTCTGCAGGATCAGCATTTTCACTGACCTTAGTTAACCATTTAATTTTTGTGGAAGGTAGTTGAGCTTTAGGGTGTAAAAGCAATGCTAAGCCTTGAAAGCATGAAAGGGACCTGAATTTATATTTTTCTTTCGAAAGTGTTCCAGAAATCATCCAGTATGCAAATACTACTACTACTAGGTCCAGAGCTCTAAACACATCCCTCAATGCAACAGGCAGTACCTTCCTAACCTATAGAGATGCTCATGGTTTGAGGTATGTGCCACAGTTCCAACTTTGAGGGCTCCTAGGGCTTTGAAGGGAAAACAGTGGAGAGTGTGGAAGAGCCATTACATGCTGTCATTACATACAGTATCTGGTGGTAAACATATCCATTGGAGAAAGCTTTCTAACCCATTTGATCAAATTTGCCCCCCAAGAAGGATTGAAGAACAATTGTCTGATCTGCACAAAACATGGTTGAAACAGATGCAGGGGCGGACTGACCATTTGGAAACTCGGGCAATGCCCGAGGGCCCAGGGTCAGTAGGGGGCCCCATGAGATGCCCCTGGTACCTTTTTCATAGGCTTTTTTGAGTTTGGGCAAGGACACAGGGGCCCCATGATCCCCTATTGCCCGGGGGCCCCATGAGTTGTCAGTCCGCCCTGGATATGCCGCAATATATATTAGTTTTGTTCTTGGGTTTAGATATAGTTTAAAGTTTAGCTAAGTCAGTGACCCAAAACAAGCATGCAGTCAGTGAAGTCAGAACTTCAGTTTGGTTTACTTCACTTAGCCGTGCCATACAGAGAATTTAGTTTGAAAGCAGTTTTTTTAAAACCGTTGTTTGACTTTCTAATGGTTAGTGGTCTAACTGATGAAAATCTATGGATGGAAATGTTTTTCTTGTTTCTTATCTGATCTAGCAAATTTCTTGCCACCAGTTAACGCCAAATCACGTACATGTACGCCATTTGACTTTATTTGGTTATACTGGGATGATGCCTAAAGCTATAGGCATCACCCCAGTATTGTTTTTTTCAGCCAGTGGCCGGCTTTTATGTAAAAGCTATCTTAGCGGCTAATTAGCCACTGGATGGCTTTTAAGAGGGGTCGCCTCCCCCCTTCCGCCGGTGCATCTCCAGGTTCTCCCGCCCCACCGGTAAGCCCAAAATAAAAGCCAACAGTTCCTGCGGCTTACCACAGAGCTTGTCGAGGACTGGAAGGTCCCTGATGAGCTCTATGGTATAGGAAACCAAAAGCGACAAGCATTTTTGGCACTTCTGGTTTCCCGGATGTAAACAGTGCCATTTTTAAATTTGGAAAGTATCTGATCACACCAATCTTGGTGTGATTAGATGCTTGCAAGGGCAGAGGAGACATCCAGGGTCTAATAGACCCCTGGTCTTTCCATAAAGAGTACCTGTCACGGCCTATTGCTGTCACAAGGAATGTTTATATTCCTTGTGACAGCAACAAAAGTGAATAAAGAAAACATAATTAAAGAAACAGTGTAGAAAAAATTTAAAGCACTCTCATCACTCCGTGCCTGTCGCACACCTTGGTCCCGCAAGCATATGTAAACAGTGATCACACACGTGAGTTATTGCCGTGAACATCAGAGCATGAGCAATAATTCTAGAACCAGGCCTCTTCTGTAACTCTAAACTGGTAACCTGTAAAGGCTTTTAAAGCATTGCCTAGGGAAACATAGTTTGTCGCCATTCCACGAAGGTGCACAATTCTAAAGCGTGTCAAATTAGGTATCTATTTACTCAGTGTAACAATTTTTTATATTTTACCAAAAATTGGGTATTATATTGTGTTTATGTGCATTAAAATTCATTAAAGTGTATTTTTTCCAAAACCTTTTTTTTCCAAAAAATTTGCGTTTAAAAAAAACGCTGCGCAAATACTGTGTGACATAAAAAATGCAAGACAAACCATTTTATTTTCTGGGGCATCTGCTAAAAAATATATGATGTGTGGGGGTTCTAAGTAAATTTCTAGCAACAGATACTGTTTTTACTACAAAAAAGGTGTCAGAAAAAGGCCTGGTGGCTATGTGAGTCCCATTTGGAAACACATTCCTGAAATTGAATGTTAAAGTTCACAACATTGTCATGGCAATTGACTGAAAATGTTTTATATGAAATTTGTATAATCACAGATGGTATTATTGAATGCTCTAACGAACAATTCGGTGTAGCAGTCTGTACATCATACACCACAATACATAGCTTCCGAATGAGTGTCCATTATAATGCTTGCAATGGCACGTGCTCATTGGTCATTGTAACCAAGCTGACCAATGAAAAGCCCTTCTATTCCTCTGGGCACCTTACTGGAAGAAGATGCCCCTATTCACTTCTCATTGGTTGCTCATTGGACACCAATCAGTGTTAGTCAATGCAAGCATTATGGTGGATACTCACTCCGGGGCTGTGTATTGTGATGTACAGATCACTACACCAGCAGAACGGGGCATCATGGCTGCTATGATCAGCCCTGTTATAATAGGAAGAGCCTACTAAAAGAAATAAAACTAGTGACCCACAACCATAAATACAGGCTTGAATATCATTGATGGCTCTTGAACAACATTGACACTCTGTAATAACCAAGTGTTGATGCATTAACTCCAATTTTCCAAACACATCATAAATGAAGAGTAGGGATATCTTAAACATTTTGATTTTACAGCCTTGATATTGCTAATGTCCACCACTAACTGAACGCTATTTAGCACATAAAAGAAGATATTATGCAAACAATTTTTAATACATATTCATCAATTCAACTTTTTAAAAAGCAGGAATTCTGCTGTTCCTGGCCTCCTCCTAAAAATGCTTTTTGCCTGGCAGTCATGCCAATCCCCTGGCGTCACTACATCGCTGACCTGGAACAAGTATGAAGCTTGAAGCTGAACTCCAGACTGGCACACTTGCTCTGTGTCAGTGACTCAGTAACGCTATCCCTACATGGAGCAAATTTTAACTCAAGCTGAACCAGAAAAATTCAAGCTGTTGGCGGCCCCATTGGCATCCTCATGCCTGATATTATTCGATCTGAAAATCAAAGCAGCTAGGTGGAAAATTGTCAGCTGAACAAAGCCTGCATGAGATACAGCCACTGTTCGGGTATTCTCACAGCCACAGGTGCTGTCTGTCAGAATACCATAGCCAGAAGGGGGGATTCCTCCATCCATGTGGTTTAGAGTGGATGGAGCAATCAATTGATTTCTCTTGTTCAGCCCATGGAGCTGAGCGAAAGAAACCTTAAACATATACTCATAGATTTTTGAACAAACAAAGAACATTTGTATGAAAAGTTTGTACAAAAATGTTCAATAAATTTGACAACTTAATAAATGTTTTTCGAAAGTACTTCAAAATTTCGGAGTTTTTTTAACATTCAATTTTGGAACTAATGGATTTTGTTTACAGATAGAAAACCACATTCACTGTTCGAAATTTGTTTAGTGAAGAAAAAATTTCCATCCTGTTCCATCAAATTTTCTCGTCACTGTGGTCGAAAACGAATGTCAACTTGACACCATTAACAATTACAAAATTGAAGAACATTCTTAAAATGAAACATTTTGATTGAAATCTACTAGTGTATAGACAGTTTACCAGTTTATGGTCAGCTTTAGTTGCAAAGCATGACATTCAGGCAACTAGAATTTTCATAACGATAATGCGAAAGTATCCCTCTTTTTGATGACAATACAGTTTCACTTTACTTCTTACAAATATTTAAAGCATTAAATATCAATGTTATAGATGGCATTAAAAATATTTAATATTTTATATATATATATATTTATTTATTTATTACAGGTACTTATATAGTATTTACACAGTACTTTTACATATATACATCAGAACCTAACCCTCAAGGAGCATATAATCTAAAATCCCTAACTTACATTCACACATACACATACTAGGGCCAATTTAGACAGGATCCAATTAACCTACCAGCATGTCTTTGGAGTGTGGGAGGAAACCGGAGTACCAGAAGGAAACGCATGCAGGCATAGGGAGAACATGCAAACTCTATGCAGGTAGTGCCATGATATATATATATATATATATATATATATATATATATATATATATACAAAATTCCAAAGCAGATGAGTTGCTTAATGATTCTTTTCAGGGTGCATGAAGCAGGCCTGACCTCGACAGTCCAATTTATAGCATATATATATATATATATATATATATATATATATATATATATATAAATAATAATTATAATTATATAGAGATCATTTCATAGTAGATAGATAGATAGTAGATAGATAGATAGATAGATAGATAGATAGATAGAGATAGATAGATAGATAGATAGATAGATAGATAGATAGATAGATAGATAGATATTTGGCATTAAATAATATTTATTACTAATATTCTATTATTATTATTATTATTATTATTATAATTAGAATTAGATATAATTTTTGTCAAGGATAGAGAAGATAGATAGATAGATAGATAGATAGATAGATAGATAGAATTATTATAATAATATTTTTGTGCTTTGGTACTTTTCCATAAATTTCCTGTAATATTGTAATTTTCTTCTCGACTTTAAGAATATATATAAATTATATTCCAAAAATGCAGTTAAAAATTCTGCATATGTAGATCATTCAATAGTAGATAAGATAGATAGATAGATAGATAGATAGATAGATAGATAATAGATAATGATAATATTTTTGTGTTTTGGTAATTTTCTCTAAATTTGCTGTATTGTTGTAATTTTCTTCTTTTCTACTTTAAGAATATATATATATATATATATATATATATATATATATATATATATATATATATAAATTATATTCCAGAAATGCAGTTATCATTCGACATATGTAGATCATTCAATAGTAGATAGATAGATAGATAGATAGATACATAGATAGAAATTTTCCATTAAATAATAGTTAATATTAGTATTCTATTAATATTATAATTAGATAGATAGATAGATAGATAGATAGATAGATAGATAGATAGATAGATAGATAATGATAATATGTTTGTGTTTTGCTAATTTTCTCTAAATTTGCTGTATTATTGTAATTTTCTTCTTTTCTACTGTAAGGATATATATAAATTTTATTCCAGAAATGCAGTTATGCATTCGACATATGTAGATCATTCAATAGTAGATAGATAGATATTTGGCATTAAATAATAGTTAATATTATTAATATTATGTTAATGATATAATTATATAGATTATTCAATAGATAGACAGTCAAATTCTAATAACATTTTTTGTGTATATAAATTAGATTCCAGAAATGCCAGTATATAATATATAGATTCGAAGGAATATAACCTACCTGCTGCGTTGTCCTGAGTGTTCTCTATGGTTCAGCAGCTGTGTTAATGTGAGTTGAGAAATGTTTGCCTTGTAGGTTGGTTATATATAGAGGAAGGAGTTACACCCTTCTTCTAAGCCTTGCCTTGCCTATACACACACAGAGGCAGGCTGGGCGAGTGCGGCTGTGACACAGCTGGGCTGGATAGAGTGCAGTTCTTTCAGCTGCCTCCCACACTGTCTGAGTCTTTCCTGTGCCTGGAGGCCAGACAGACAGCGTACACCCCTCTGGAGAAAGCAGGTGTGAGGCAGCCCCAATGCATCATGACGTCAGGCAGGACTGTTTAGTGGAGATTCCCAATACATCCAGCATGGAAACCAACACAATGCAGAAATAAACAGTAACACCCAATACTGTCACTGGAGCTGATCCTATTATTATGAAGGTTAGGGAGAGCTGTAACATAATGTATACAAACATGTTTGAAAGCATCGTGTCTTGGAATCCAACCTTTCCACCAGGGACAAGGACCTTTACCCTAGGTTCACATCTGTGCGGGTGGTGCCACTGCGGATCCGCACAAAAATCCGGCTGCACCACCCGCACAGAGAAATGCGGACCCGCGGGCGGGTGATATTAGTTCAATGGCACGCTGCCCGGCACTGGAAAACGCAACCGTACTGAGAACCGAGGTTCCCATGCGGGCTGCGTTTTCCAAAGAAGCGCAGGGACTTCTTCTCTGCGTGTCACGGGCACGGTAGTCCATTCAAATGAATGGGCTCTCGTGCCTGTGCAAAACACGGCCCGCACGACCACATAGATGTGAACCGGGGGTTAGTGTCCAAGGTGAAAAGGCCAAATAGCATGGATTGCAGCTCCTGCCCTTTTTGTGTCTCCTCCTGCGAAGGTACCCAACACGGCCACCTATCTATGTCTTGACCTGACTCTGCTTTCAGTATGCTGGGTGCCTGCTTACACAGTCCCATACCAAATTTGGGGTTCATTTACGAAAGGTAAATAGACTGTGCACTTTGCAGTTGCACTCTGGAAGTGCAGTTGCTCCAGTAAATGAGCAGAGGTTCTGCTGACTTCCTGGGAAGAGAAATAATATCATCCAATCATGTGCAAGAAAAAGAAGAAGAAAAAATACCTTTTTTAATTTCCTGCATGCGATTGGGTAGTCTTTGCAAAGGGAAGCTTTAATTCATTTACTAAGCTCTGGAGCAACTGCTCTTGCACTTTGCAAAGTGCACAGTCTATTTGACTTTAGTAAATCAACCTCATTGTGTGCACTGATATATTGAAAAAAGAAGAAGAAGGACAGCACCCCACGGATATGCAGAACTGGCTCAGCAGCAAATCTCCACTTACAGCGCTTTGAATAACATTAGTATCTATTTATCCGAATAAAAACATCTACATACAAAGCATCACACTGTTGGGGACATTTATCAATTCTGTCAAAACAATGTTAATAATAAAGTGACACTAAACTCTGATTTCAAAATAAAAATGATTATTATAATTATTATACCGAATTTATGTAGTCCCAACAGTTTGCGCAGATCTTTACAATGTGAGCTTGCGCAGCACTTTACAACACGAAAAAAATTCTGTTCTAGAATGTATTCTTAAAGTTTCTTAGAAATAAAGGGAACACTTTTTTTTTTTCATTTTGGATAGAGTAAGGGAGGGTTACAATACCTGTAAGTTGCTAAAATTTTATTTTTGCCATTTGGGTCACATTGGGGAGATTTCCCTTCACTTCCTGTCCTATAGCCAAAACAGGGAGAATCGCTCTAAAGCACAGATATCAAACACAAGGCCCGCAGGTCAAATCCGACCCTCCAGGCCATTTCATGTGGCCCTTGCACCTCTCCTACATGTGCTCCCTTGTCTCCACCCTGTCCTATAGCCCAAAACAGGGAGAATCGCTCTAAGCACGATATCCAAACACAAGGCGGGTCAATCCGACCCTCACCTTGTCTCAGCAGTCGGCTGTAGAGAGGAGAATAGAACTCTTCTGCCAAATCCTGCACCTCTCAGTGCAGCTGCAGCACCCCCTCATCTCTGCCTTCCCTGGTCTCAGCATTCAGCAGACTCTGGTAACTGACTCCACTCCTCCTCTGGTCCTCCTCCAGACCCTGCACTTTCTGCTGTCCAGCTCTGCCCTCAAAGGGAGTGCACGGTGATGTTAGGGTGGGTGTGGGATTCTTGACATCTGATGTAATGGGTGGTGGGGTGCTCTGGACCTCCAGTTTTACAGATACAACCGGCCCTTTGAGGGCAACCATAATGCTGATACGGCCCGCAATGAAATGGAGTTTGACACCCCTGCTCTAAAGTGAAGAAAATCCCTGGTTGTCAGCAGAACTAGTGTCCCCAATGGAAGATATACTCACTTCTCCTGTTCTGGGGACAACCCAAACTTTGGGATTTGCTTTTACTAATCCCTCTCCACGCTATCCATAACTAAAATTAAACGTTTTGCCTTTGGTTATACTTTAAAGTGATGTAAACCCTCACCTTGTAAAAAAACCAATTCAGTTTAAAATATCAATGAAAGGCAAAACATTAATATATAGATATATAAAACATTATAAATATCTCTTTTTTATAAGTGATCACATTCCTTCAGCTGCATAAGAACTGGGAAGGAGCAGAAACAGCAGCACACTGATCTTCCAAGTGATTGGCTGTGCATTGGGGAGGGGGGGGTGTCAGGTTTAGTCTGATCATTGGAGGAGAGCACACTGAGTTCCCAACATAGCTGAAAAACTGACCACGCTGTGCCCTCATGCCTAGTGTGGTCAATTTTTAATAGGAAAGCAGAGGGACTGGCAGGAACACCAGAAATTTCACACAATGGAAGCAATACATGGAGAACAGGATACTTTTTCATACAAGTACATGATACATATCAGGAATAGGAAATGCTGGTTTTACATATTTATTTCAGGTACTTATATAGCACCATCAATTTACACAGCGCTTTACATATATATTGTACATTCACATCAGTCCCTAACCCTCAAGGGGAGTACAATCTAAGGTCCCTAACTTATATTCATACATACATATGCTAGGGCCAATTTAGACAGGATCCAATTAACCTACCAGCATGTCTTTGGAGTGTGGGGAGGAAACCAGAGTACCCAGGGGAAACCCATGCAGGCACAGGGAGAACATGCAAACTCCAGGCAGGTGGTGCCATGGTTGGGATTATGAACCAATGACCCTAGTACTGCCAGGCAGAAGTGCTAACCATTTAGCCACTGTGCATATTCTTTAACTCAGAAAAGTACCTGCTATTCCATCCTCAAATCCCCAAATTCTTTTTTTTTTTTGCCATGTTCTGACTTCCTGTTAGAGGGCAGCTATGATAATTTTCCATGGTCCCACTGTATGTAGGAACACTCTCTCTTGCTTGCTCCCAACTATGGTCTATAGGATATGTAGTGCCCATACACCAGTGAACACGATCGCAACTAATATGTACTACTCATTCCAAACACATGGAAGTGAGAAGGAAAATTGGGAGGTTCGGGAACTCACGAACATTACAAGGATGAAAAAAAGTAAGAAATGATTTCATAAAAAACAGATTATAGGGAAATTAGGTAGTGGAGGTGTATGGATGTGTATCACTTTAAATGGCCATACACTATTATTGAAGGCTCAATGAAAGAGATCTATGAGTGTGTGTCCAACTTTAGTTTAGCCCCATACTGTATGCTTCAATTTCTATTATTCAGTCCCATGGGCTAAAATACACCCCCCCCATAACAAACTCCCCCAACAACCACATCTACCCACCGCCTCGAAGATGTTACAGACAGGCAGGTATAGCAGCACCCAAATGAAACATTATCCCTCATCCTAAACGATAAATTTTTCGCCCTAAACCTACACCCGCAAAAAACGACCAAACCACTTTACCACCAACACACCCCACTTCTCAAACCCAACCCACAATCCTACCACTAATTTCCTACTCCGTAACGCCCAGCCTTAACATATACACCCACCACAAAAATCACCCCAAACCAAACAAACCCCACCACATCCCCTATACCCATCGCCCAAGTCAGGCCTCACCTCACCCCCACCTACACACCACCCCCGACCCAATACCAAACAACCCATAGCCGACCCATCTCCTACCTAACCCGCTGGTCCACAAAAAAAGCCCCCCAACCCACCCACCCCCCCACAATCACCTCTAATTACTAACTACCCTCCACACCCCAACAAAACCAACCAGCCGACACCCCTAATATCCCCCCAAAAATCACCCACACCCCATAACCCCCAACACCACACCCCACCCCCCCATCCACACCCATCTTTTCACTCTTTCCCATCACAAATTCTAACCCCACATTCTTTCTTTCATTATTCCCCCATATTATCACTTATCCCCTCCCCCACTTCTATACTTCCTCTATTCTTCTTACTTCCCTAACTCCTTTTTATTTTACTTCAACCATCCTCTCATTTAAAACCTTTATCTCCCACCTTCTCTTCTCTTTCTCTGTTGCCCGAAGATCGTACCATCCATCGTAGACACACACTCTACCAATTCCATCAACAACGTGTGACACCTATACGTGATGTGCGTGTTGAAAAGACCCTATTGTGCGCCGTGTGTAATAATAATCACATGTATTGATCCTAGTAAGATTACACTATATACCAATACATCGTCCATGCTGCGTGTGTCCTCAAGATATCATGAGATATGTCCCTTTTCTCCTCGCACTCCATCACTCAGTGCAATCCACACTACTAATTTGTGTTATGTCTCAGACACCGTGCTTGATTTTAATAGTAGACTATCTTATCTGCTGTGTGTGACACGCACATGACTCTTTATTCTAGTCAGTATAATGTACTAAACGCCCTCTACATGTATCTCCTCACGGATCTATCATAGCATAGATAGCAAAAGACTCGACCACTTCAGTTTGTGATACTACCTGTGCACCTCATGTATCCTTCGCATTGTCCCCGTCTGACCTTATGTGCGATCTTGTGTTGTGAGTGCAGCTAATCTGTTTATACTTGAGTCACATGTCTATCCCCCTGTCCATCAAGATTTACTCTCAGCTGTCGTGTCTATTGTGTGCCAAATACTAGTAGAAATGACTCTGTATGATACAAAGAGTTGAGTACACTTCTCCCCACACTTTAAATTCTTCACAAAAAACAGAGTATAACTTGTGGATAATCGGCCTTATTATCAGTCTATATCCTGATCAATGATAACTCACACACTAAGAATGTCCTAAAATGTGTGTGTATCTGAAGTGTCTCACCATTGCCCCCGCCATGTTCCCCACGTGTCCACCCGCACACCCCACCCCCCCTATCCCCCCCCCCCACATTGTCCCCAGCATTCATGTTAGATTGTGTAAGAACTGTGACTCATACCTCTCTCTGATGTGTGACTGATCAATGTATCCCAGGTGACTCAAACCTCCACACATAGACAGGTCTATATGTCTACATACAATATAGTGTCTCTTTTGAGTTCATATAGTGACCCACTACCGTGAAAAAATGAGCATATCCGAGAACACCCTCTAGATACAGACGACGTTCATATTAGTGTACTCATGAACAAGTATCTCACTCTGTCATATACTGCTCACATAAGAGTGCAACAGGTCTCGCAGTGTGTCTGCTACTCTCTAGATCAGATAGCTAATGACATGTACTTGCCACTATCGTTAAAAAAGATAGATCAGATCGCTCGCGTGATCAATTATGTTGTTGTATCTGCATTCTGATGAATCGTATAAGTAACTATCAGTGTTATCAGAAAGTGTCAAAAAACAAAATAGATGTATGAAGAGATGTATATGATCTAAGCTGCAAGTCTGATCGATCTCCTAACGATGATAATTCCACTATAGATGTTCTCGTAATCTGACACGCACTACAGAGAATAGACAACCATACTTGATCCCACTCACCCCATACACTCAAGACTAATCATTCCACCTATTGTGCGTCCTCTCCTACCTCGCGAGTAAATCAATGTTAGTACCACAGATCCAGTGTGTAATATACATAGTCAAAATTCGTGCTACTCTGTCCTCCCCTCCACTCACTGTATCTCTTTAACGAATCAAATCGCTTATCACAAGTTGTGTCGAAACAATAAACGTACATAACTCCATATACCAACACTGTCTACAATATACAATCTATTGTAGTAAGAGTCCCTAACCTGATCACATGTCATCGCGTCAGATATATACGTATATTGTCAAACGACAGAATTATAGTGCACACGCGCGTACCCTCGCAACTCCGCCAATATGTACGCGACCAGTCAGACACCGCACAAACTGCTGTCTAATACGAAGATCTGAGTGCAAGCTGCACACCAATGTCTACCCTGTAACATGGGTGTACCATATCAAATTGGTTTGACTAGCTTCACTTCTGCATCTACTCCCAGAACATTCGCACATATTTGCGTGCACTGAGATATAAAGACACTTCTCATCAGCCATTACAGATAGTGCCCACCCGACTATTGTGTTATTGACACTCAAATGTCAGATATCCCCGTATGTGAACCCACACTCTTCATTTGTTTGTATCCAGTTACAAAATGTGAGTTAACATCAGTCTCCGCTCCTCATCTTTACATCCTCAGATAGATAGGTTGCCACGTATCACGATGAGATCTCACCCATCGGGTTAAATATATCCTTGAGCCTATGTGTTTCAAGTAGATGACCATACGTCAGGTGTGTGTATATCCATATATGCCCACATAGAGATTGAGAACATACTCAGCCACTTCATCTCTAGTGTACCAGTATCACAAGGATATAGGTCTGGATCGTAAAACACCTCAAGGTTACTCACCCATCGAAGTCTGCACTGTCAAAGCCAGTAGTAGTACCCGTTTCTGCGAACAAGACTTGTGTTGTCGACTATAAAGAGCGCTGTTGCGCCATGTTTATGACGATGACCACAATCCATGATGGGCAATATACCCCCAGATGTGCTCTCTCTACATAAAGAGTGTGGCAGTGTGTGTCCACAGCTGATACCTACCAGTGATACCAACAATGGGGGCACTCATACCCTCCCAGTGAAATCAATGTGGGGCACTGGCTCCTCTACTTCCAGGTCGAGTGTATTCCTCAGATTCAATGAGAGAGGTCACGTGAGATGGATGTATCCTATCAGGGAATGCCAGGAGGATGGAGAATGGCGGTCTATGTGACTC